AAAAAAAGATAATCACGTTTGGTCACTCTAACAACTGATTTCTATCTGTTTCTTTCTTTCTTTTGATCTTCACAAATGTTCAATGGGTCAAGTAGGAAGCTTTACTTGCCAAGAGCTCTTTTGTCTTTCTGTTGGGGAACATGGCTTAAGAGTATTTCATTGACAGTATTTAAATTTGTTGTATTTGAATCCAAACATCTTTTGTATCTCCTTTGACAGCATTTAACATCTTCCTATGATAGAGTAGTATAATAATAAAAATAATACTCAGTATATAACACTAATAATTAAAGAAACCACAAAAAAGGGATTTCAATTACCTTCTGCATCACGAGATGCCTTTGAACGGCAGGCAGGACGGGATCCTGCGTTTTAAAGAAAAAATGGAGAGGATTGAACAACACAAAATATGTGTACCCAAAAAAAACATAAAATCAAAAGGACAATTAATTCTAGCACAATTAGGGATGAAAACCCTTTGTTTAAATGAAAATTTTCTCATGTTCCTAACCTCCTCCTCCTCCTCCTCCTCTGCCACCGGAGAAGCCCCTGCGACCCATCTATGCGAAACAAAAGGCAGTTCAGGTTTGATGGAAAATTAGTACTCCCTCGTAGGGCACAATTCGGTAAACGGATCTAATCCTGCACAAACCAAAATTTTGGTATAAACCATACCCAATGGATTTATTAGAGCTAGATATTCCGTACTCCCTCCCTCCATTTTTAATGTTCGTAGTACTAGGGCTGTGCACCGGACCGACCCGGACCGAAAAAAACTGGACCGTCCGTACCGGCCCGAATAAGGACCGAATAAGGGGGAGGAATCTGCCATATTGGCATTTAATTGAAACTTTGAAGATTTGCAAGGGGGAGAAAGGCAGTTGACAAATATGACGAACTTCAAGCATATATGAAGCATATATATGACAAAGATGATTATTCAAAGCAAGAATCTGGACCAAGTGACTGGAAATCACGACAAAATTCTAAATTAGTTAACCCTATGACATTTTAGCAAGAATCGGCGAGTTGAGAATCTGGGATTTGTCGGAGAGTAGAGATTGCGTACCTGCGGAGTTCTGACGGAGTGGACGGTCTGCTGCGATTATCGGAGGATTGGGCGGAATCCTGCTGCGCTGCGGACGGAGTTGAGAACCCGCTGCGCTGCCGCTGCTGCAGACTGGAGTTTTCTTCTGCGAATCGGCGAACTGGGCTACTGCTTACTACTGGGCTGGATTATTTGGGGTAATGGGTATTGATGATAAATTAAGCCCTAAAGAGTAAAGCCCATATGAATATAAACCCATATTAATGATATAACCGGTCCACCGGTCTCACCGGGTTTGGACCGGACCGGACCGGAACCCGGACAACGAAAATTGATGGACCGGAGACCGGACCGAATTAGGACCGGTCCGGTCCGGTTTTGGTCGGTCTTCGGGTCGTTCCGGGTTTGGACCGGATAATGCACAGTCCTAGTTCGTACTTTCCTTTTTCGTCCGTCCACAAATAAAGTTCATCTTTCTAAATTAGGCAAAGAATTATAAGTGAAATGCCTTTAATACCCCTCACCCACCACCCACTTTAGTTTACTTCAACCACCCCACTTTTGTACTTGCACTTGTACTTTAACAATATTTTAATCATTTTCATTACTTTATCTATCCAATCATTACTATTTAACTTTATTCACCTTTACCTTTAATTTATTTATTTTTATTAACCAAAGGGCAAAGCTGGAAAGTAACGGCTTTTTTTACATTTTCTTAAACTCCGTGCTAAGTCAAACTCTGAAAATTATTTATGGACGGAGGGAGTACAAACATAATTTCACCAAAATTTTGGTTATGTACCGTTTTACTGAATGAACTACTCCCTTAATAATTTGATTGAAAAAAATTAAAGTTAGATAAATACTCAGAAAAAAATACTAATGCTCAATACTTCTCATGTCTCGCATTATTTTAAATATACTTCAATTCTTGAAATTTGTGATATTGTATTTCAAGAATACATTTTGTTTATTTTCGCAATAGGGTTGACACTTCACTTACTTTCACAAACAGAATTATTTTATTAGAATATAATAAAACAATAATTATCAAAATTAAATTAAGTATCTGTCAAAATAAAAAAAATTAGAGTTTATTTTGGATAATATGAGACCTATACGTTTTTATTAGAAAATGAAGGATATCTTGAAATATTTCTTAAAAGTAAAACCAAAGAGTTTTTAACAAAAAATACTCCATAAATGGTATCCTAGAGTAATTTTCTGATAAAATATTCATGTGATTTACCTAACCGCCAGTGACCCAACAAGATTCTGGACCAAAGAAAAAATACATATTAATGGTCGAGCTCAACACTCAAAGACCCTCTTATTTGGACCATACTTATAGCTAAACAAACAAAAGGTTAGGCAACTCAACTCAACACACACCAAGGAAGTTGTCTACGTAGGTCAGCCTCCATACATGTTGTAACGTGTCACTTTAAATCTCACATCGGTAAATACATTTGTTCTAAAAAATTATATGAGGATGCAACATGTCACATTCATGCCATTGTCAAAAAATATTTCTCAGAACAAATGGAAGGCAGACATGTCACCCAGCTTATCACTGAAGATGATGGTTCTTGTAAGTATGATAATTCATCCCCTCTAATCCGTCCTCTATACCCCCACTCTTACCCCCTTCCCCACCCCTAGTCCCTCTCTTTACCTTGAAAGTATATGCAGTATACTGCCAGGGTAGCAAGTGCTCCGGTAAAGGCTTAGGGAGAGGGTTATGAGGTATGAAGTCTTTGAACTGCTCCCTCCGTCTTTAAATAAAATCAATACTTTAACTTCACACAATTTAAGACAAGGTCAAAAATAGCTAATTTGTGTCTAAACTACCCCTAGTTGTTCCTTTTACCCTGAAAGTATATGCAGTATAAAAGCAAGCTTAGATTAATTGAAAATGAAAGAATATATATCCGCTGTCTAAAAGAATTTTTTATTAAAAATAATAATTCTAATACTATTCTAAACTATCTACCACGGAGTACAAAGTCACTAGTGTTAACCCCGTGCTTCGCACGGGCTCGTGTACATTCTATAAATATAATTTTATTTATTTTAGCTTTCTAATAGTGACATAATATGTGTTAGATAAATATTTTTTTAACTCTAAGATATATTTTTTCAAATAATATAATTTAAATATAGATGCATATGGACTAAACATTCTATAAGTATTTTCTTTCAAAAAAGTAAAAGAGAAATGATTTATCGTTTTTAAAAGTAATATAAATTAAACTTTGTTTTTCTAAGTATTGATAAAGTTACAAAATATTTTATATATATAATTTAATTGTGTAAGCAAAATATGTTTTAAATTGGTGCAATATATATTAGTATATTTATTTAAAACAAAAATTTTATACAAAATAATTTACAATGATGATATATATGTTAATAAAATTGTTAAAAATGACATTTTTTATACAAAGTATAATTAAAGTAATGATATATATGTAGACGACATTGTTCTCACAGCATCTTCTGATCATCTCCTTCAGCATCTCACACAGCGTCTCAAGGGAGAGTTTGCTATGACTGATATGGGTGATCTGCATTTTTTCTTGGGCATAAATGTACATCGTACTTCCCGTGGGCTCTTTCTTCATCAGACACAATTTATTCATGACATTCTCGAGCGCGCAGGGATGGTCACCTGCCGCCCCATCTCCACCCCTGTTGATACTAAGTCGAAACTCTCCTCCACTGCTGGGCCTGATGCATCCGACCCCTCCCTCTATCGCTCTATTGTTGGCGCCCTGCAGTATCTCACATTTACCCGGCCAGACATCACCTATGCAGTTCAGCAGCTCTGCCTCCATCTCCATGCACCATGAGAGGCGTATATGACAGCTATGAAGCGGGTTCTCCGCTATCTCCGTGGCACCACTACATTGGGCATCTCCCTCACTCCTTCGCGCACGGACATTTTACAGGCATACTCTGATGCAGATTGGGCAGGCTGCCCAGACACCAGACGCTCTACTTCTGGCTACTGTGTTTTCCTTGGTGATAATCTCGTCTCCTGGTCCTCTAAGCGGCAAGCCACCACCTCTCGATCCAGTGCCGAGGCCGAGTACCGCGCCGTCGCCAATGCCGTTGCTGAGGCCAGTTGGATTCGGAACCTTCTCCTTGAGCTCAGACATCCCCTGCAGCGAGCCACCCTCGTTTTCTGCGACAATGTTAGTGCCGTCTATTTATCCACCAATCCAGTCCAGCACCAGCGCACTAAACATGTCGAGGTTGATATTCACTTTGTTCGCGACAAGGTCGCATTGGGACATGTTTGAGTTCTTCATGTTCCCTCCTCCTCCCAGTATACTGACATATTCACTAAAGGACTTCCCTCGGTTCTCTTCTTGGAATTTCGCACAAGCCTGCGAATTCGTCCTCCACCGCAGCCGACGTAGTCGGGAGCATGATAAATATTTTTAATATATATTTATGTTAAGTATATTTAATGTATTTATTATTATATCATTGTATTATTGGTAGTTACCTTTTGTATAGGTTTCCTTTCTTATACTTCTACCATGATTAGGAGTCCCACCTTGTATATAAATATGGTTGTACTCCTACACAATTAATCAATTGAAAATATTCATTCTTCATAAGATTCCACTTTCTTTGTAATATAAATATTAACTCATTAAACAATAATTCAAACAATATTAAAATTGAATAAAATAAAATCAACTTTATACTTTTTATTTTTAGAATAAAAAATACAGCTACAAACATAGATTTTTAGAAATCAATTCACACAATAAAATCAAATTTGTATTTTTAAACGTGAATAGATATTTAACCTCAATAACTAAATTCAAAAATTGATGATATTTTAAAATTTTGTCTACTGTTAGATGTGGCATTTGGGTCAATCGGATCAGATATCTTTCAGATAAATGTTAAAATCGGTTCGGATCGGTTTACTTCTAGTTCGGATTTGTTTCGGTTCTATACACTTATCAGGTTCAGTTTGGCTTCGAGTCGATTCAAATATAGTTTAGATATAAATCGATTCAGATTATTGATTTCAGTTTGGATTCAATTTGATATTTTGGTTTTGGATCTAGTTCAATTTGGACATATTTCATTTCGGTTATATTTCGATTCAATATATTTTGAATATATATTATTTTCTAATTAAAATTTAATTATCCATATTTCTTTTTTATCATATTTATCAATCTATCATCAATTTAACACCTCATATTTTATATTTTTCCTAATTATAATATCTCCACCCTAAATAATTTTTTAACTTTTTAGTCATATTTTACAAATTTGGACTACAAATTATGAAAAATATATACTAAATAATTATATAAATTTAGTATAATTAAATTAATTTTAAAATTTAGTTTTGATATATCACAGTTTTATCACATCTACTAATACCTTTATGTTTATAAATGTAAAGTTAAATATAAATTCAAATAGTGTTACGCTTAAATTGAATATAATTTTGTAAAATTTGAGTGAAATTAGGTGAATTTTGTAAACATTGATATAATTGAATGAGGTTAATACAATTGAGTGCAAAATTTATAAATTATTTGAGTGTATTTGGTTTAAATAAGATAAAATTAAATTCAATAGCGTCTAATATAATTAATTTTACACCTAAATTTAATTGTGTAGACCAATTTTGAAAATGACAATTCTAAACACTGTCGCTAGAAAGCTTTTTCAAAATGACAATGCTGGCCTTTTATGTTATTGAGAAGTATTGAGTGAATTGATTTGAAACTAATCAAATTAACTCTCAAACCAATAAAATCTATTGTTTTGCGTCATGTAGCATTCTTTATGAGATGGATGGAGTTTTTTTCAAAATAAAAATAATTTAATTAGATTGTGTAATATAAAACTAAAATTAGTATTGTATTTTTAACATAATATCTAATTAAAGACTTAATTTTTCATGTCTAATCTTCCCTCTAAAGCTCAAAGCTAACCCCCATTCTTTTTCACTTTTCCTCCTTAATCTTGTTTCTTTTCTGACGCCACCATTCTATGTTATTATCTTAAATTTTGTTAATAACAAAATAGTTCGCTCACTTTATTCATCTCTTGTTTTATATGTATAACTTTTGTTCAATTTCTAAATATAATAAATTTAAGGAATGAGATTTTTTAATTTTTTAAAGATGGGAATGACTATTTTATCTTGTAATTTGTATATTAAAAAATTATAAAAATTATATATTAATAATCTATATGTTAAGATTAATCAAACAAGATCACACATGACTATTTTTAAGTACTCCGTAAAAAACAATAACCATAAAATCAACAAAAAATTCGGTGGTACAAATTAACTACTACATCATCTGATCCATCCATCACCCGCTAGTGAAACAAGTGGAGTAGGTGATATAAGTAATATTGTTTTAATCACTAATCCCATGGTCGAAACGAGAAACTTACTATAGTATGACATATGAAAAAAATTAGAATAATAAGAGAATAATAACTCATTAAACAATAATTCAAACAATATTAAAATTGAATAAAATAAAATCAACTTTATACTTTTTATTTTTAGAATAAAAAATACAGCTACAAACATAGATTTTTAGAAATCAAATCACACAATAAAATCAAATTTGTATTTTTAAACGTGAATGGATATTTGACCTCAATAACTAAATTCAAAAATTGATGACATTTTAAAATTGTCTACTGTTGGATGTGGCAATTGGGTCAATCGGATCAGATATCTTTCAGATAAATGTTAAAATCGGTTCGGATCGGTTTAATTCTAGTTCGGATTTGTTTCGCTTCTATACACTTATTGTTAGAATAAGTGACCAACGCTAGAGGGGGGGTGAATAGCGTTTGATCGTAGAAATCGCAGGAATAAAAAATTAAGAGCGTGAAACGTAAAGAGCGTAGAAAGCGTAAAGGGAGCACACCAAGANACTTCAACCCGAAGGAAAATACCTTTCCTTCGTACAACCAAGGGAAACAAGCTTCCCTTAACGTGTATACAACACTAAGACACTCAAGAACAAGACTCTCCTTAAGAGTGGATATGAGTAAACTAAGAACGCTCAAGAACACAACACAAGCTTCACAAAAATGGCTCTCAAAAGCTATGAATAATTAAAGAATGATTTGCAATGAAAGAGTAGGAGTTGTGAAGTAATGTTCTGTGTAAAACAGACCCAAACACCCCATTTTATAGTGGAAAAATAGGCTCCAACGGATCAAAACATTTAAGGGGTGATTGGCACAATTTGTGGGATTTGATTAAAATTGGATCTGTTGAAATTCACCTAGACAGCGCTGTCCTAGGCCTGGACATCGCTGTTCTAGGCTTACGGTCATGCCAACAGCGATGTCCAAAACCACTACATCGCTGTTTTGGCTGTTGACTTCCAAACAAGGAAAGTTTTAGCCTTAAATTCCTTCCAACGGTCAGGTCTCTACATCGATGTCCTATACTAGAACATCGCTGTTTTAGGTCTGCCTTTGAAGGTGGAATTTTGGCCTGACAGCGCTGTTGCTGGGTCAACATCGCTGTCCAAAAACTTTCTGTCAATGCACTATATTTTTGGCTTAGGTTGGACAGCGCTGTAGGGGAGCCTACATCGCTGTTCCAGAAGTTTCTGGGAAGCCAACCTTGGCTCAACAGCGATGTCTGATGTCCAACATCGCTGTTGGAAGACTTAACGCCAAACCATGTTTTTGGTTACCCAGGCCAGACAGCGCTGTTGGTTACCTCAACATCGTTGTTGGTCTTGGTTTAGCCAGACCCATGGTTGGTTTAGTCACGCCGTTAGCCGATGTCAAAAACGCAAGTTCTCCAAAATAAAAACCAAGTTTAGAAAACATTTGTTCATTGCATTTTGCTAAGAAATCAAGTAAAACATCTTAAAAACCACGTCATTTAGTTGAAAACCACGGCTAGCCGAATTCGTGCCGTTTCGCATGGTTTTCACTAAACGACCAAAAACGGAGGTGGTTTTTGAGGCGTTTTTGTTGGAGAACTATTTAAATATGCCCAGAAGTAAAAACCAGTTATAAAAACTTAAAAACCACTTGGTTGGTTCGGACGCCAAAAACCGATGCCGAAAGCCGAACGCCGGTTTCTGAAAGCCGAACGCCGAATGGCTTGGTTTTTGGCTTGGGCGAACTCCAAGTGTTTTTGGGTAGATTAAAACTTATGAAAAATATTTTTGAGTTTGTAAAAAGTGTTTTGATGAAATGAGCCTAGAGAGCCAAGTTTTGAAAGTTTGTGCCGGTCTTGATCACAAGAAGACCGACTCAATACAATTCTAGTTCTTCGTTCTTGATTCTGGATTCTTGGTTCTCAAAGCATCATGCCATGTTCCTTCGCCTTGGTTTTTGTTCTCTTTATCCTTGTTATGTCACGGCGGTTTGGCATTATCAAAACCTGTCATTAACGAACACAGTTTAGTACGACGAAGGTGTAAACCCGTGTTCCAACACTTATCAGGTTCAGTTTGGTTTCGAGTCGGTTCAAATATAGTTTAAATATAACTCGATTCAGATTATTGATTTCAGTTTGGATTCAATTTGATACTCTGTATTTTGGTTTCGGATCTAGTTCAATTTGGACATATTTCATTTCGGTTATATTTCGATTGAATATATTTTGAATATATATTATTTTCTAATTAAAATTTAATTATCCATATTTCTTTTTTATCATATTTATCAATCTATCATCAATTTAACACCTCATATTTTATATTTTTCCTAATCATACTATCTCCACCCTAAATATTTTTTTAACTTTTTAGTCATATTTTACAAATTTGGACTACAAATTATGAAAAATATATACTTAATAATGATATAAATTTAGTATAATTAAATTAATTTTAAAATTTAGTTTTGATATATCACATTTTTATCACATAGCATTCTTTATGTGATGGATGGAGTTTTTTTCAAAATAAAAATAATTTAATTAGATTGTGTAATATAAAACTAAAATCAGTATTGTATTTTTAACATAATATCTAATTAAAGACTTAATTTTTCATGTCTAATCTTCCCTCTAAAGCTCAAAGCTTACCCCATTCTTTTTCACTTTTCCTCCTTAATCTTGTTACTTTTCTGACGCCACCATTCTATCAATACTTAATTCACACTCACCTTCAACTCTCAAACATAATTTCTTTCGAGTGATGCTTCACCCTTTTTTTCATATATGTTACGGAGTATTATCTTTAATTTTGTTAATAACAAAATAGTTCGCTCACTTTATTCATCTCATATTTTATATGTATAACTTTTGTTCAATTTCTAAATATAATAAATTTAAGGAATGAGATTTTTTAATTTTTTTAAGATGAGAATGACTATTTTATCTTGTAATTGGTATATTAAAAAAATTATAAAAATTATATATTAATAATCTATATGTTAAGACGAATCAAACAAGATCACACATGACTATTTTTAGGCTTACACATTGAGAGAATTTGATAAGTCAAAATGCTTACACATTAAAAGAATCATGTTTAGTTTACTTCATCACAAAACAAGTATTCTCGTTGTGAATTAATTATCTCAAACTTAATTTTAGTACATTCAAAAATATTCGACTCAGTTTTTCTCTAAATAAATTTTGACCACTTATTATTTTTTAATTTTTTAAAACATTTTTCTTAAATTTTGTTAAAAGACTAACACAATTAGGGTCTGTTTGGTACACGAAATTGATAGAATTGGATTTGAATTGGAAATAAAATTCCATAGGGATTCAATTCCATAGTATTGAATTCACCAATTTCAGTTCATTGTTTACACTACCCATTCCAAATCCACATAATTTTTGTGCTACCAAATACCAGAATTGAAATTGAAGTATTCAATTGCAATTCCATAGTTTGAATTCCGTGTACCAAACGGGGCCTTAATTTGTGACGTTAAAAGTGGATTTCAATTTTTAGTAAAAATAAAATATGTTTGTCATCACTGATTTAACAAGTTTTTGTTTAATTAATAGTCTCTCCGTCCTAAAATGTTCTTTCTACTTTTTCTTTTTCTCCGTTCTAAGACTACCTTCCCATTTAAAAAAATGACAAATGACATTAATACTTTCATTTATTTACACCAATTATTTTCTAATTCTATAATTTGAATGATTGCAAAAAAAAGTTCAAAAAATCTTTTTTAAGGAAGATAAAATTTGAAGTCAAAATCAAAAATTAAAAATGGAAAAAAAAGTCAAACCGAGAAGAACAATTGATTAACGTTTACACGTACTAGTTTATCAATGAAAACATCATACATCATATGCAAAAATTCATTTGATGGCAGGGGTAAAAATCCAATAAAAGCAAAAAATATACGAGACATCCATTCATGTTCAAAATCCATCCATTATAAACAAACAGCACCTAATATAAACTGATTCACAATGAGTCTCCAAATCTAGAGCAATAAGGAAAGAAATACGGAGTACTAAACAAATGGTGAAAAAAACATTTGGAGTTTTTCTTTAAAAAAAAAAAACCAATTACTCATAATCTTCTTCATCGCCTCATCGGAGCCTCCTGAGGATAGTAAGCCAGCGGCTGAGCTGTATAATCCAAGAGCATGAAAAATCATAAAATGGCCAAATCAAATTTTTTTTTGAATAAAAAATGATAAAATAAAAAAAGGACTTACCCAGCTCACCTCATTTCACCAGGTCCATCAAAGTTTCGATCAGAGCGTCGATGTCCCCATCTCCGCCGCCCCCACCATTCTGTGCACCTCCGCCGCCGCCATTCTGGCCTCCGCCGCCGCCGCCGCCATTCTGGCCTCCGCCGCCACCATTCTTGCCTCCGCCGCCGCCATTCTGGCTTTTTCCGCCGCCTCCGTTTTGGGCACCATCTCCTCCGGCTTTCTGGCCTCCACCTCCTCCGCCGTTCGGGGCTCCGCCGCCTCCGTTCGGAGCTCCGCCGCCGCCGCCGCCTTTCGGGGCTTCGCTGCCGCCGGCGTTCGGAGCTCCGGCTCCATTTTGCCCGCTTCCGCCACCATTGACATTTCCTCTGGCTCCGCCGCCGCTGCCGCCGATGCTGCCGCCGCCGCCTCTGATGGATCGGATTTCTTGCAGCACCAAGTCTATATTTTCCTCAATCCGGTCGCTGGCTTTGAGGATCTCATCCAGCTTTTGAGAATCAGGGGGGGCAAGGGTGTATTTCGACTTGAGATTCTGAAGTGTTGTCTTGGGCCCCTTTTGATACAAGGAAGAGAGGAAGCCACCGAAGTGAGCCGCGAAATCGGCGGCTCCGGTGACCACTCCGGCCCTGGTCATTCCGTCCCATATCTTAGTCATCCTCTGCTTTGTCTCCTCACCCTCCATAGCTCGCTTAGCTTCTGCTTTTGCTTTCTTCACCGTTTCTCGGATTGCACTAAACCTGAAGAAATGCTTCATGGTATATTTTGTGGAGGAGAAGAAAGAGAGAATGAGAGGATGCAGAAATGGAGAGTGTGAGGACGAAGAAGGAGAGGAGAATAGGATGCAGAAATTGATTTAGAAAATGGACTCTAGAGAAAACGAGAGAGGAGTGATATTTATGGAGACGCGTGGAACGAGGCCCAGATTCTCAGACGCGCTGAACGAGGCCCAGATTATTTAGAAATTGGCTTTCTCATTTTCTAAAATGGCCCCATGCTACTTGTTATTTAGAAAACGACCTTTGTATTTGTTATCCGCTTGTGGATTGAGAAAATTACTCCAATTCATAATTGTTCTTTATGGCAAGCTTCCCCTGATGTTCTAAACCAATGTTATGATGGCATGACCCAATAGTGCTCTGATCCATCGTTCATAAAATTAACGGTTTCAATTCTTCTGGTAAACCTCCATACCCTGCCCCGACCCAAACATCCCCTCACTCTCTTTAATTGCAACCCACAAGTTAATTTTAACTTCGGAGTCAAATTTTGACTCCAAAGTCAAAATCAACTTGTGGAGTGCCATTGAAAGAGGTGAGGGTGTGTTCGGGTCAGGACAGAAAAGGAAGTTTACCGGTGGGATTTGGGGGTAGGAACCGTCAATTTTACGAACGGTGCACCAGAGCGTCCCGAGTCATCCCATGACATTGGTTTCCAAAGTCATGGAAACCTTGGTCGTTCTTTATATACATTTTTCATATGATCAAAATTAATTTTTTGTTTTTTTCATTAATTATTTTATAATATGATACACATAACATATTATGTTTGTCGTTTCATATTGATTATTATAAAAAAAATCAGTTTCACACTTTTTGTGATAAAAAGTATCGAAATAAAAGATTCATATTTTTATTTGCTAAATAGCACTTCACATTGTTTTTGGAGTATTATATTTTTTTCTAAGGTATATAGTGTGTGTATCTGTGTGTGTGATAGTTCACCAAAGTTACAGTAAAAAATAAAATCTACATATTTTAAAACAATTAAAAAAAATAGAAAATATGAGTCGATTTAAATTCTTGAAATAAGTTAGCTCAATATTTTAAAAATATACTCAAATAAAATATTTGCATTGATTCATTTTGAAATAATATTAAGTATATGAATGATTTAGAATTTACATCATATCTATAATTATATACAGAGTAGTTTTTAAAGTTTTTAAAAAATAAAAGCTTCTAGAATTTTTATTTTTTAACTACTAAATACAAAAAAATTAAGATGAAGTGTAACAAAAAACAATCTGGTTTAGATGGTTTACAAATTAATTAAATCTCTTTGAGATTGTGTGTTCGAACTCCATCTTTCATATAGTTTTTCAAAACAAAATCAAAAAATACCGCAGGGTCTGATCGGCTGGTTTTAACTGATTCACACCAGTTCAAGCGATCTCAATGCATATCACGATCCAGATGACTGTGTCGGACCGACCAAACCACCAGTCCACTGTTTCATGGTCCGATCTAGTTTTTAAATTAGGCATCCAAGAAGTTGAAAACTTTATTTTATACTAAAAAAAATAAAGGTCCATTTTCTTTGAGAGGATACCGCGGACGTTGGACCCAGTGGGCCATGTCTTTTGGATGTTATATGGAATTGAACTTTTAGACTTTTGAGAACACATGCCCATAATATTTCATAAGCATCTCCCCATCATGTTCGGACGTGCAATTGGGTATCTATGCACTATATTACTTCCCAACATGCACGCTCTTGATGATTTTGTGTTTTTGAAGTTTATGATATTGGGGTCGAATGACACATCAACTTAAAAGTTTGCCAATGTTAACTTTTCTCTCCGAGTTGTGTCATTATTTTTTTGCCTTCTCTTTGCTCAAAGCTCTGATAGCTTGAGTGATGCCAATTCAAAAATTTTGTAGTCATCCGTTAAACACCCGATAATTTGTACGAGCTATCTTTGGAGTCGAGAACGGGGTAAAGTTATCACATGCCCATATATGCCCGTTGCACATTGGTGTAAAAACAAGTGGAGTTGGCATATCTACCTGGATCATTTGAGAATGAGATTAGAGTAATTGATGAGATATTATAAATTGAAGGTGAAAATGTGATGAATTTATTGAGTTTATTTTTAAAAAAAAGGAATTGAAAGAAAAAATTAAAAAATGAAATTTAATCCCCAACGCACCGGCCGTCTACAATGGACTCTGTCGTTGTCTCTATGCCGAGGCCCCACGCATCTTCCCAATCACGGCATCTGCCGCACCCCGCTGCGCTGGACGCATCCCACCCCCATTGCAAGTGCCTTTTAAAAGACCTAAGATGAGAGATCATTAAGAATTCTAGCCAAATGGCTATATTTATAGATTTGAGAATCGATAAGTAATTATTCAAAATACTTAAATTTATTTTCCAAAAATTAGCATTCATAACAATTTCTTTATTAGTACCAAAACTAATTATTACAATTTATTACCCAACATTTTGTGTTGGTGTAAAACTAATTTTTATTAACGCACCAACATTTGTGTTCGTGTAAATTTTTGTTAACGCACCAACACTTGTGTCGGTGTAAACCATCAAAGTGTTTGTGCAAAATTATGGGGTACAAGTGGGTTACATTTTTTGATGTACGTGTAGCATCCCATCACGATTTCAATTCTTCCGGTAAACCCCCATACCCTGCCCCGACCCAAACATCCCATCACTCTCTTTAATTGCAACCCACAAGTTAATTTTAACTTCGGAGTCAAATTTTGATTCCAAAGTCAAAATCAACTTGTGGAATGCCATTGAAAGAGGTGAGGGTGTGTTCGGGTCAGGACAGGGTAAGGAAGTTTACCGGGGGATTTGAGGGTAGGAACCGTCAATTTTACGAACGGTGCACCAGAGCGCCCCGAGTCATCCCATGACATTGGTTTCCAAAGTCATGGAAACCTTGATAGTTCTTTATATACATTTTTCATATGATCAAAATTAATTTTTTGTTTTTTTCATTAATTATTTTATAATATGATACGCATAACATATTATGTTTGTCATTTCATATTGATTATTATAATAAAAAAATCGATTTCATGCTTTTTGTGATAAAAAGTATCAAAATAAAAGATTCATATTTTTATTTGCTAAATAGCACTTCGCATTGTTTTTGGAGTATTATATTTTTTTCTAAGGTATATAGTGTGTGTATCTGTGTGTGTGTGACAGTTCACCAAAGTTACAGTAAAAAATAAAATTTACATATTTTAAAACAATTGAAAAAATTAGAAAATATGAGTCGATTTAAATTCTTGAAATAAGTTAGCTCAATATTTTAAAAAAATAATCAAATGAAATATTTGCATTGATTCATTTTGAAATAATATTGAGTATATGAATGATTTAGAATTTACATCATATCTATAATTATATAGTTTTTAAAATTTTTTAAAAAAATAAAAGCTTCTAGAATCTTTATTTTTTAACTACTAAATACAAAAAAAAATTAAGATGAAGTGTAAAAAAAAAACAATCTAGTTTAGATGGTTTACAAATTAATTAAATCTCTTTGAGATAGTGTGTTCGAACTCCATCTTTGATACAATTTTTGAAAACAAAATCAAAAAAATACAGCAGGGTCTGATCGGCTGGTTTTAACTGATTCACACCGGTTCAAGCGATCTCAATGCATATCACGGTCCAGATGACTGGGTCAGACCGACCAAACCACCGGTCCACTGTTTCATGGTCCGATCTGGTTTTTAAATTATGCATCCAAGAAGTTGAAAACTTTATTTTATACTAAAAAAATAAAGGTCCCTTTTCTTGGAGAGGATACCGCGGACGTTGGACCCAGTGGGCCATGTCTTTTGGATGTTATATGGAATTGAACTTTTAGACTTTTGGGTACACATGCCCATAATATTTCATAAGCATCTCCCCATCATGTTCGGACGTGCAATTGGGCATCTATGCACTATATTACTTCCCAACATGCACGCTCTTGATGATTTTGTGTTTTTGAAGTTTATGATATTGGGGTCGAATGACACATCAACTTAAAAGTTTGCCAATGTTAACTTTTCTCTCAGAGTCGTGTCATTATTTTTTTTACCTTCTCTTTGCTCATAGCTTGAGTGATGCCAATTCAAAAATTTTGTAGTCATCCGTTAAACACCCAATAGTTTGTACGAGCTATCTTTGGAGTCCGAGGATGGGGTAAAGTATCACAGGCCCATACATGCCCGTTGTACATTGGTGTAAAAACAAGTGAGTTGGCATATCTACCTGGATCATTTGAGAATGAGATTAGAGTAATTGATGAGATATTATAAAGAAATATTTGCACTAAATAGCACTAAAACCTAAGTCATTTCTCTAAATAGCACTAAAATTCTTTTATTCTCTAAATAGCACTTCATAATGTCCATAATGACCTCTGATGGCAAACATTTACTTGAATAATGACTAATGGATAATGACTAAAAGTGCTATATTGGGAAGAAAAACACATGTAGTGTTATTTGAGGAAAGTCATTATGTTTTAGTGCTATTTACGGAAATTCCTCTATTATAAATTGAAGGTGAAAATGTGATGAATTTATTGAGTTTATTTTTTAAAAAAAGGAATTGAAAGAAAAAATTAAAAAATAAAATTTGTTCCCCAACGCACCGGCCGTCTACAATAGACTTTGTCGTTGTCTCTATGCCGAGGCCCCACGCATCTTCCCAATCACGGCATCTGGCGCACCCCGCTGCACCGGACGCATCCCACCCCCATTGCAAGTGCCTTTTAAAAGACCTAAGATGAGAGATCATTAAGAATTCTATCCAAATGGCTATATTTATAGATTTGAGAATCGATTAGTAATTATTCAAAATACTAAAATTTATTTTCCAAAAATTAGCATTCATTACAATTTCTTTATTAGTACCAAAGCTACTATCGTGTTATGAACAACGTATAAAATCTTAAAATATCTTTTTAAAGTTTATTTTATTTTCAAATTAATATTAAAATAAAAATATACTCCTTCCGTACCAGAGTATTTGTCCACTTTCATTTTTACACGTCATCCAATACACTTCTTTAATCTATTTTATCTTGTAATAATTTATATATTAAAAAATTATAAAAATTATATATTAATCATCTATATTTATAGGGAGTAACATTTAGTTATGTGAAAAGGGATTTGATTTTTGTGGTAATTGTTTTTTTTGGGGGGAGGGGGGGTGGGTAGAGGGGAGTAAGGGGAAAAAAACCAAGAGTAGTTTTTTCAAAAACGCCGTTGGGGGAGTCATCAAAAGAAAGGGAGAATGAGGAGCAGGTCATTAACCGATTTTTGGAGTTTAGTAACAGAGAAAGGGAAGGTACACTGCCGGTTTTGTCTCATCAAAAGGTTACCAACTTTTTCCCTTACCCAGAGGATGATGATGATGATGATGACTAGCCAGCCAATCACAATCCTCCCCCTTTCACCAGCTGTTTTATGGGGATTTGTGGGCCATTTTCCATTTTTCATTCTTTGCGTTGTGCAGCGTCCATCTTATCCCTTACATCCACTAAACCATTTCTCCTTTTTGTTGTTTTGTTTTGTCTTAAATGTAAATTTCTTCTCTTTATGAGACCAGTCTTGGGGCCACGGCTGGCCCGGGAAGGGGAAATCTCTTATTTTGGCCCGGGCCCAAATTTGTTAAAATATTACTCTCTCCTTTCAAGAAAACAATACAACAACTTGATTTTTTTAGTCAAATTTTACAAGACTTTGACCAAGAATTATGGTATAAATATATATTTAGTTGTAATGTAAATTTAATAAAAATTGTGTTTCTATTAAAATATAGATTTGAAATATCAAATTCTTATAATATTTAACTATTTAATTCGTTGTCAAAGAATGCCACAGTTGGACAAAAAATTCAAACTGTGGCAATCTTTTTGGAACAGAAGAAGTATATTCCATACACCCTAAAATAATGTACCAATTTATTATTATAACCTTTTGATATATTTAATTGATTTATATATTTTTTTAATCATTTTATAAAATAAAATATTTTTATCGGCTCTTGTTTTGCATAGTTTTGGATGTCGTTTGATATATATAATTTTCATTTATTATTTTATACTAATTTGTAAATAAAATTATTTTAAAAATCACAAAATTTTACATGAGTAATTCTTTTAGGGACGAAGAATGTATGTAGGGAGATTGTAATCTCACATCAATTCAACTGGTGTGAGATCATGACAATGATTCAATTGGGACATCTAGAGACTAGGATGCTCCAATTGTAAATTGACATCTCACTCTACCCCAGCTCCCTTGCCTCACTTTGGATCGCCGATTTGATGGGCTCCAAATCGGCACTTCAAGATGTGGGAGCTGGAATGGAGGTGAGCATGAAAATGCTATGAGTAGAAACCATCAAATTTATGATCAGAGCAACGTAGGTGTTCTAATTAAAATGACCACCAGTTGAACATATATGCCGTTACAACTTTTCTAAATCATAGAGAGCATGCATGAAGAGTGGCAATTTACTAATTTTATACCAATTCAATTGGGGGCACTTACGATGCTTTGATAAAAAAAATTACTTGTGTTAGCCCCACCGAACCCCCAAACCCGACCCAGCGACCCTACCCAAACACATCCGCACACTTTGTTCACATCCATCAACCAAATTTAAGTAAAAAACAATAACCATAAAATCAAAAAAAAATTCAGTGGTACAAATTAACTACATGATCTAATCCATCCATCACCCGCTAGTGAAACAAGTGGAGTAGGTGATATAAGTAATATTGTTTTAATTACTAATCCCATGGTCGAAATGAGAAACTTACGATAGTATGACATAGGAAAAAAATTAGAATAATAAGAGAATAATAACATTTATAATAAATTCTACAAAAGAATAATCATCTCAGTTACGAATTAGATTTTTATATAATAGAATATTGAAAACTAGTGCAAACTTATGTACACAAATATAATATTTTTTATTTAAATCTTATTTATAAAATTTGAGAGTTCAACTCTTAGAATCGCAACATGTGACGAGTCCACTTGGCAATATCTTAAGAAATTATTCGTCACCTATTAATAACTTAAATTATGTGGCAATTTTAATCAAAATATATAGTATATGTCTTATATATGGAGTGCCACAACTATATATTGTGAAATGTGTCACACTTAATGGATAATTTTTTTTTGCATATTAGGAGTCATTTCATCCATCAAACATTGACCAAAGGTTTCCTTATTGTAGTTTTCTTATTTCCTTATTTGAAAGAGATTAATGAATGCTAATCAAATGCTGTTTTCTTAAAAAGCTGAAATATAAAGTTGATATTTAAATATTTTTTAAAAATAAAAAATGTATGCTACATATATTAAAAGGCAAAAAGTAATACTACTCAATGGAGAAATAATTCACCTTTATTGATGTGTAATAAGTTAATTATTAATTGGTGTTCACAATCAAATAACTTGTGGTATAATATTAACTATTATAAATGTAATTACTATCAAATACTATTCTTAAATATTAATTATTTTATTTATTCTTGGTTGAAAATTACTCCGGTACTCCCACCGTTCCTTGAGCCAATTTCCCTAAAATACCCTCATCGGCAGAAAAGAAATGTAATGTTGTTTCATCCCATTATTTTGTTTTTACTCTATCTCCTCTTAACATATGGTAATTTCGTTGGCGGGTTCTGGTTTGGGGATTATCTCATTGGGGTAATGGGGTTTGGGTTTCGGATTCGACTTAATTAAATGAGTTACTCCGTATTAATTAGTTCAATCTTTTTTTTTAAAGTAATACTCTTTCCGTACTTAAATATTTGTCAAACTTGTATTTTCGAAGTAAAATATCAAGTTTTTTCAATTTATTTTATTTACATATTGGTATAAAAATAAAAAAATAAAATTTACATATTAAAAAACTACATGAAAAGTTTTCTGAAATAAGTAATATGAAAAAAAGAACATAAATTTATTTGTATCATACGGAGTATTATTTTTCATATTAATGTTCTAGTACATGATTTTAAAAAATTTCTTACTTTAGTGCGGATTGGTTTGATTGCCTTCATTCGGGTTTAATCCATTTTAGTAGATGGTGTATAGTTTATTTTATTTTATTTGTATAACAAAAAAAATAAAAAAGTGAAACTTGAAGATAGAGAAAAATAAAGAATAAAAATGTCATTTTGTGTCTTAAAGTAGTCAAGAGAAGGCGTCTCTGCACTAACCAAAAATCACACGAGTTTTACAAAGAACTTTTGAAAGTATAAAGGGTTTTAGCGCTCCTTTTGTAAACCACGGGACACTCATGCTACTACCCCATTAAAATGTCAACCTTTTCGGTGTCCCACTCCTGGCTCGAATGACCATATAATTTTAGTGTTATTCCTCCCCTACGGGATACTCACTCCATTCCAAATAGCCTGTCACTGTTATTAGTTTTTAATCATGACAATTTTTTTTTGTTTGGCATATTTTTATTCATTATTTGATAAAATAAATTATTTTTGACACATTATTTTGTATAACTTTTAAATAATTTTAAATTAAAAACTTTTTAAACCAAAATTGATCCTTCCAATTCCTAAACGTTCTAATGCAAACATTCTGAGATTGATATCAGTGTTTTTAAACCCGGACGGGATCGGGAGGTCCGACCGGTCAAATCGCGACCCGGTTGGCCCGGTTCAATCCCAAAAAACTCAGAAAAAACCGGGTTGACTCGAAAAAAACCAGGACCCGTCCTCGCCGCCGAGTCAGGCTCCGGTTCGAGTTTAAAATCAGATTGATATTGGTACAACATAAAATATCCTAAACATATTAGGTCAACCGGCTGAGCCAAATACCATGCGCTGATGCGCATCAGCGCATCCCCTACAAGTAACCATTTAAAAAAGCGTAGTTGCATAAATATCTTGGCTTTGCACATTAAAAGTCATAAACATTAACTAATTAGGGCAATTATGTCATTAAACTTCCATATCACAAAACTTTTTCACTATGTTTGGTTCAAAGATTTTGGAAGGAAAAGAAAAGAAAATGATTTTCTCTCATTTTCATCACCAAAATGGGAGGAATTTGGTTTTCCCTCCATTTAGTATATTTGTCTTCTCATTTTCTTTTCTTTCCACTTTTCTTCTCCAACTAAACATGAAAAACAGTTTTCCACTCCATTTTCTTTTCTTTTCTCATTCAAATTTATTGAACCAAACATAGTGTTTAAGTTCTCTAGCATGATATTGGCATTCCTCTGGATCCTTTCATCTCCAAACACTCCAAGTTGTTTACAAAAGAAAGTGAGGTAACAGACACTGTAATTTGAATTTTTAATTTTCAGAATTTGGATTAAAGATTTTTTCCAAAAAAAAAGCGCATCTTCTAAATTTCGCTCGACTAGACCCAGTGTTTAGAAAAGAGATGCGACCGCCGCATCTCTTCCTTCCTTCTGCGTCTATAAGAATCTGGCAAAAGAATGTGGCAACTAGGTGTTCGTAACTTCATCACCATTCATATGTTCTTGATTAATAATTTGAGTTTTATCTAATTGATTTTTATATTAAATGCCCAAAATAATCAATCTAAAAGTGCTATCAAAATTTGAGTAAGAAGTAATCCAAACGTATTAAGGCATTGAATGAAAGTGTGAAGCTGAGGAAGAAACAGAGCTAGTTGATGGGCTGAAAGAGAACAAAAAAAAGAGTTTCTGGGCCAAATAAGTTTGAGCTTAAAACTAAAAAAGTTAAGTCCAGGCTAGATAAAAGTTCTAATTCATATTTTACAGTTTCTAATATTACACATTTGACATTAGAATATTAGAATTTTAGAATCGACATTCATACTTGAGTATAAAATTTGAATATTTCAAAAAAAAATTATTGATATTACATTCATATCAAAACACAATAT